ATAATGCCTTGATCCTACAGCCAAAATTCACGAAAAAATCACGTTACACTTTTGCTCCTTAAATATAGGTTATCCCAAACATTACTTATATATTAAGCAAGCGAGAGATAAGCATTCTCAAACTAAGGGAAAGGACAACAAACAGAGTCTTAGTGAACAAAACTTTATCGAAGTATTCCTCTTCACAGACACCTGAATCTTTTGTGGTTAAATTGCACAAGACGTAGACGATCCCAATTTGAAACTTTGCTAAACAAAGTCTTCAGGAAAGTTTGTTAAAGTACCCTCGGAAACATTTCGAGAGAATAATTAAATTTATTTTTCCGCAGAGTGCTCTATTAGCTGATTCTATTTTCTACTGCGGTTGGCACGAATGTCTTTGGGAGTACCAACCTAAGGGGAAGAAGATAGGTCAAATGGTGTTGATAGCTTGCATTCAAGCGCAGAAACCGCTCGTCCTCAAGGCTTTTAAGATGATAGAACTTACTTATGGAACATTTTTATTGGTATGATAATTGCAATGTTATATTCTATCAAAATATGTAACTCAGATGACTGGCTGATAGAATTCACTATAGCAGCCATATTAAAAAAAAAGTTTCAGATGTCCAACCTGATAAAATTTGTCCAAATAAATGGAAAATGAAGTTAAGCGTTAAATCCCTGAGTGCCTCACTGGTCCTATGTATACCCGAATTTCTCGAATCTCACTAGAAAGCCTTCATGTTCTGGATTTATTCGTGCAACAACCAAAGCCACTATAGATGCATGTATAGAAGTGTTGACACACACACAAAGAGGCAACCAGTGCAGTTAGACATAACATCAACTTCCCCTTTCTATCCCGTGTTTATACAAAGTCAACCGTTAAAATTCATCTAAGTGTATACTATGATTATGTTATTAACAACTATTTTTCTTTACAGGTCATAAAAACAACTTATTCGATTTTTGCTTTGTTCAACGCACAAAGTGGAAATGATTAAAATGAACAGTAAAAATAAAAAACAATTATAACACTAAAATACTTTTCACAATACGCACAAATATATTGATCACAAGAGATCATAAGCACAAATAAGTTTTAGAATTAATTTAAGTAAGATATTAAATGTGTAAAGTGATACAGATTTGAAATTGCCGAAAGTTTAATATTACTGACACGCTATGCTTTTAACAAAACTCGTAACCAACGATGAACAATCGTTACTTTTACCTTATTTAGACATTAACAAAGATAGGTCAAAATAAATGTAGCAATTGATTCATGTCAGTGGAAGTATGACCTCTTACCGTCGGTTCCTAGGACCATAATCTCTATATAATATATATCGTCATCCCTGTCTATTGTATATTATCTTTGACAAAATAGAGATAGCAAATTTTTTGAAATGGAGATTTTGTACTCAGAAAACTACGGTTAGTGCTGCGGTGTTGCACTTGTGAGTTTTACCGACCCATTTTATAATTCGTTTCGATCAACTCCCGAAAATTTTTAGCGTTGTCGGTGCTTCAGTCTGACTTCATGATATTTAAGCTTGTGATATTACACCAAAACTCCGAGCAGCTTTAAAGATAAGCCGTAAAACCGAACAGTATCCGTCCGTCGATTAGGGCATTAATATCCGACTTTTTATTGAACATAGTTTTAATCTTTTAATACATATTCATTTGTCAACTATGAAGGCTTTAGTATAAGCGATTAAGCTGGCAACATTTAATTTAATTTAAACATGTGACAAGCAAGTTAATTAAAGATTATAAAACGAATATTTCTTATAATAATACAATAGCCGGTTACCTACTAAATAAGACTAAACTTATATTTTCATTTTTAATTATCATACCAAAAGTTCTTAGTTCGTTAAACTTTCCTACGCTCATGAATTATTTTCATCTCATAATTTGTTGTGCATGAATTAAAAAAGTATTCCTTCTCTTCTATGTTTTATTTCACTATAGTTTTACGTAGTTGTTTACAGCAAAATGCTTTCAGCGTAATACTACTGAATGTTGTACACTCGCTACATTTTTTCATTTACAGAAACTTTTCTGTAAGGATATAATAGTTATTCATATATAATGCCCCAATAACTCCCACGTTTTCTCAGTAAAAGGTAAAAATAGCTGGCTAATAACCTTACTATCCAACTGTCAATAGGCTTGTTAGATCTCAGATTAAAGCAGTGGGTTCTTATAAATATTATATAATTTAGAAAATGTGTTATGATTATTACTGTGTAAACGCACTCTTAAAAAGTTCAAGCCTCCTTTTCATGTACGCCTAAAACAGATCCGATATTAATGTTTTGAATTCTTTTGTTCCTATGTACATAAATGTTTAATATGAATAAAATGACTACGATACTAGTGCTGGAAACTGATTATAAAATACGTAAATCATAAATCACGGTCGTAAATATAAGTAGAAAAATCTTCTGAAAAAAATGCATTTTTAGTTACGCAGCTTCTGTGGTGAATCTTATTACTATAATGAACAACGAAACTATAAAATATTTTCGAAATCGCGGCATAAATAAAAGCTACAGTGATTTATTACAAATGGAACGCCATAGCACGCCAGCAGCAGCGACGTTGCAGTACGCTGCGGACAAAGGCGAAAACAATGTTAACTTCTTTATTTAAAAGACAAGATTTATGCGATTTTCACTCAAAGTAACTATTAATATGAAACAGTACAATAATAGTAGATTCATTATTCGCTGCCCTGTCACCTCCGAGTCGCTATTTTCCAGCAAAAAGATATTATAAATAAAGCGAAGGATATCTATAAAATGAAGTTGAATTCAGTATCAAGTAAATTAAGAATTTAAATCTTACTAAAATAAATAGATATTAGAAAAATACACTTTGCTACTAAGTCCATCAGTACGAGATGAGATCTAAAAATGAACGTCAGCATCGGTATATTACATTATTTCTAGACATCTATAAAATGTGTAATATCATAACGTGCATAAAATTTATATTTATTTTCAAAACATAACTTATAGAAATAAGCGATTAAATGGTAATTAAAAAATGTAATAACTAATGAACTCATACAATAACTTGGCTGTATACCCGTAAGGCCGTTCGTCGTAAAGTGACATTGACAATGATATAACGCATTACTTTGACACTTGACAGAAGACAGCTGATAAATTTTCTTCTTGTTGGAATGTTTTAGAAATTTATTATTTATTTATTATAACAAAATGACGGACAGTGCTCAGAAATTATATTCACGTTTAGAATCTTTTAAAAGAAATATTTCATTTTATACCAAACGCAAATCCTTTAAGTATGGTTTACCATTTATATTGTTTGTCGTCGGCGGTTCTTTTGGTTTAAGAGAGTGGACACAAATAAGGTATTTATATCGTTATCAACTATATAGTAGATTGGCGTTAAATGTGGTTATTGAGTTGGTTTAAACATATATGTAATTTTTGGTTTAATAAATAAATCTATTTTATTTGAACAGGTACCAATTTTCACAAGTTAAAGGTGTAACTAAAGAGGAAGCAGAAAAAATGGGCTTGCATAAAGCCAAAGAAGTAACTTTAGAAAAAGCTTATGAAGAGATACAGAAAATTGATATAGACAATTGGGAAAATAAACGAGGACCCAGACCGTGGGAAATGCAAGATGAACAGAAAAAATAATATCAAATGCTGTTTAGTTAGAATTAACAAGTATTATTTAGTGTAAATATAGTTGAACAAAGTCTCACACTTTCAATTATTTATTTATTTCCCAAATAAATATACCCAATTTAAACCTGGCAAGCTGGACAAGAAACCATTTATTTTACAGAAAAAAAACAGTAATAGCACTCATGAAAATATAAGTTTAGCTATGATCTCTATATACATATAACTGTTTCCTTTCCTGAATTTACCAATTTTAGTTTCCTATAAAATAAGAGTGATGCTTAATATAAAATCAACGCCAGCAATGAATGTTTATTATATGTTTCATCTATAGCATCCTACTAAAAGTAATTGATCTAAAATTCATTCATAAATTAGGCTTATTATTTTGCTATTAATAATAAAAGTTATATAACTAGTAGACAAGCCTAGACCTAATTTGTTTGCCACATTATGAATGTTGCGCAATCTTAAGTCCTATACAACAAATCTAAGAATTCAGTAGCAGTTGTGGGTTTCGAAAATGGTAGTGTACTTTGTTAGCTCACCAAATAAGATTCGAAAATTAAATATACTGCCTACAAGGGGTGATTGTGGTCAAGTGCCAGTTTATTCTTCTAAAAACTGCAAGGTAAACAAAATACACTGAGGTACTTACCACTACCATTATTTTGTTAAAAAAATTCACTTTTTAAGTTTCACACCACCACTTTGTTTTTCTTATTGCAATATTGTTTGCAATGACAAGATGGTCCGGCCAATTTTTAAAATAGACACTATTAAAATTATAACAGATTCTATTAGATTATAACACGCTTTTTATTCTCATTAAATTAAAAAGTTGTTTCAGGGTACCTGTCAAAAGAACGACTAATTAATTCGCGTTACTGAAACAATTGACAATCAACACTAATTGAAAACAACCGTCACGTCGTTTGCGTCGTTGATGTTTTTTCAGCGAAATTAAGCCCTATTTGTTTGGAGTAAAACTTAAATTATTTCGCCATAAATCTATCGACACTGAATAGATCTTTGCAGAATATTTTGTCTTGTTTTTAACTTATTAAAATTTTTCTTCGGAACACACATAATGGAAAATTATCAATTCTGTACAATTTTCAGATTTCAAAAAGGAGAGGGTAAATTTAAAATGTATTTTGAGAAATAAAACAATTCCTTAATTATTATACTTTATTACATGCTTTGCATATTTAGTGTGATAATGTTAAATATGTGAAGGTTATAATAAGATTATTAAATAGGATAAATATTGTTTTTTTTTATAAAACAAAAAGTGCATAATTTAAACGTGATTCGAATGGATATCGATTTTTTTCTTATGTGGTAAAACCGATTTTATTCTCAAAATGACATATTATAGATTGGCCAGGAATATAAAAATCCTCGCTATATTGCGAAAATATATGGAACTTTGTATTTCCTTTGCATACATTAGAAAGAAATGTAATGAAAAAGGCTTTTTATATTAATTTTTTGTGGAGTTGCGCGACTTTACTAAGTTCAATGAGTATATTGAATGTTATGAGTTTACTGAGTGTTGGGTATATTGAGTGTTGTTAGTTTTGAGTTATATGAGTTTAGTTCAGTGCAGTAGATGTGAGAAGGGCGACACCGCGCTCGTAGAACGCGTGCTGCTCCTGTCCTGGTGCAATTGACAGCCGCACCGTGAACAGTAGTTCTGAACGAGCGCTGTTCAAGTACACGGGCAGTGTCAGCGTCTGTCCGTTCACCGGTTCCTCCGGACCGCTGTAAGAAATATTTTTTTTTAGAAAAATAATAAAAAAAGATTTTTAGTAAAAAGCTAGGTTCAATCTGATGTTGATGTGATAGGCAGCTTTTTCTCTCAACATTTCGTACATAGTTCTAAACAGGTTATCGATTCGCTTGAAAAAACGAGCCACATCCCAAACTTGGCACAAAAAATCCGGAGTACACGTACCGGACCCAGGTGAGCACGGTGAGGGGCAGGTCCACCATGATGGTGTTGGTGAGTAGCAGCCGATTGCCCTTAACGGTGGCGCCCTGCAGTTTCAGCCCCGTCACTGAGAAAGACCACTCCGTCTGCGCGTTCTCCGTCGGCGTGCCCGGGTCGGGGATTGTCACCTGTGGAACACACGTAACGCAAGTTAAACAAAAAAATAATTTATGTTTTTATTTTCATAACTATTTTTTCAACATACCTGCAAGTGCAGTTCCTCCAGAGACCAGGAGTTGGCCTGTGCGACGCACTGGCGCGTAGCCGTGATGTACGCTTCGGGGTTGAGAAGACCGCCCAGCCATATTGGTATACTCTGAAAAATAAAACATTATTTATAAAACACTGGTGATTTTAGTTCATACTAGCAAGATGTAGATTCTTTTTAAGTTAAATAATTTTAACTGTTGTGCTGCAGACAAAGGTCTGTAAGGCTTTGGTTATGATTATTTCACATGTTATTAAAACTTGACGTAGTTGTACCTGCAGCCTCTTAGCGCCGCGTTCAGCGACCGCCTCAGAGACTGCGGCGAGCTGTTGCACACGCGAGGCGAAGTCGCCCGCCCACTGCTGCACGGTGCAGCCGCGCGCCACCGCGTAGCGCCGCCATGACGCCGGCAGAATGCCGCGCACCAACGCCCCCACCATAGATCGCGTCTCGTTCGTCTGCTTCATCTCGCCCTGATACATACATAGACATTAGTAACAAAATACTTTTACAGCAACATCATTTATTGCCCAAATGGGTCAGCTCGTACTGTTTAGTACCACGAACACTTTGAAGACATTCGTGAAGTGAAAGTAATTACGCGTTTCGTCTGATCAGTGTGCGTTCCGAAGGGCTAACTTTAAACCTCCTTCCCTTCCTGCCCTTTTCTTATAATGAAAAGGGAAGTAGATTTGTTGCAGGGCATAAAAACGCGAAATATTCCATTTCTGTACGTCTCCTCAATCGATTTAAAGTAGGCAACATATCTGCAATTGAGGATGTCGATAGGCCGCATGATCATTTGTCTTTAAACATATCGTCTAAATTCAGAACATATTCAAGGTAGCATCAGACAAGGAGTGGTCGTGTATTACCTGGCAGATGGAGATGACGGCACGCAGGTCATGCAGCACCTGCTGCAGCAGCGCCGCGCCGGCCGCCACCTCGCGCTCGAAGAACCGGTACAGCGGATCCTTGATGTTCTCCACCGTGCGACGCAACGTCTACACAACACAACACGCATATTATACGTGGGTTGACGTCATCAATACGTAAACAATTGCTAGTTCTGTGTCAGATTTATTTGTATCGAATTTATGCTGTCGCCCTAAAGTAAAATTTGTTAAATGTCATAATTGTTACCGGGTATAATATTGTTATATTAAGACACTTATTAGGTTTATTTAAAACTATAATTCTGTGGTATTTATCAACCCAATGACGATATTTAATCTTACATTTCATAAATGTGTATTGATATAGAAATGATATAATGATACAAATGGTATTAAGATACAATGATAATACTAATTACCGGCAGTTCCTTTGGCAAAAGTTGTAGCCAAGCGGTGGCTGTCTGGTGCAGGGTCTTCATCCACGCCGGCCGCCCGTCGCCCACAACTACTATAGCATCTGTAGAATTCATTCATTTATTACTTTATGGCCACAACAAATCATTTTTTTCAAAAAACTTCTCAATATTTTTTTTGGCAAAATTCTTTTATCTCCAAATATTATATATATTTTTGGATGCTATAACTTACTAGGATCGTCTTGCGCGGCGTTGTAAGCGAGCTCCTCCTCGTCCTCCAGTTGCTGCATCTTCAATAACTTGGAGACCAAGTCGCTGCCTTGAGTTGTTAGCAACACCTGATTTTTAATTCATTTATTAATACACGAATAATTTTTATAGCATTTTTTCTGGGATATGTCTCAAAAAACCGTCAAACAATACTTAATACTATGAAAGAGTCTTAGTCGATCTACATTAGTGAAATCTATACTAAGGGTATGTTTAGTTAGCACTTAAAAAAATCTGATATCAGCAGTAATAGAGAGGTTACCTTCTCAGCATTGTTGGGCAGTCCAAGCCACGAGGGCGTTTGTCTATCGGAGAGGTCTTCGATCCACTTGAGGAAGTGGTCACGCCGGTTGCCGTCCGGCATCGTGATGTGACGCTGGTTGCCAGTAGCCTGAAAAAACAATGACAATATTGAATACTTTCTTAAGGTTTTACTTACGTTGCTACTTTCCTACACTATTTAAAGCATAATTAGTATATTTATTTCAAAAAGCTATAAGAACCTCTTTTGTTTTGTTGTCTAAACTAGAACACTATGACTGATGAAAAAAAAATCCAGTGCTATTAAGCGTTATTTTAATTAATGAAACCCCAAATACAATGTCCTTTAAAAATATTACTTAATAAAATGTTGCTTATACTAGAAAGGTATTTAAAATTGCCATGTACCCCATCGACGTTGGCAACTAGCGCGAAGTCCGCCTCGAAGGACTTTGGCGTGAAGAGTTTGCAGAGGAATGAGTGAAGAAGACGCTGGTCGAACAGGTTGTCGATCTTCCCACCGTAGATGCATTGGGACAGAAGCGTCACAAGAGCCTCCCAAGGCACCTTCTCCGGTGGCAGGTTCGTGCGACCCTGAAATATGTTAACATATAATATTAGTTTCCGCGTACTCCGCTAGGTGGCGGAGACGTCACCAATTATATATTTTTTAACTAAGGACGTTTTATGAATTGGATTAACAAAGTTTTCATTTACCATTTAATCAAAAATACATACAAACTCAGGACAGAAACTTTTTTTCATCTACAACTCTTTAGAAAAACTTAAAAAGCATTTTTGTAAAATAGAAACGATAATATTTCCGCATCTCCACAACTAACGTGTGTTTGGTTTTGGCCATAATTTCCTGAGGATATCTACAGCATTAAATTTATGGTAGTAATTATAACGTAAATGCATACCATAGCGGTAGCGTCTATCCATGTGTCGAGAGTGTCGCAGGCGACGCGGAGGTCCGACTCGTTGAATTCGTAGTACTTGGCCCAACCCAACGGCACGTAGCGCAAACGTTCCTGCACGATGCCTGCACACGCGATACAAAAATCAGATATAAAACTTAATAACAAATAAAAAACAATAAAATAGTTTAACATTTACAGCTTCTTGTTTCAGGATATGACATTTTGAATACAATATCTTACCATGGAACCAGGCTAACAGGAAGTACAGGCGAGCTCTTTCTGAAGGAGCTTTCATCATACGAGCTGCGGGTACCTAATAAGGAAAACCAAGTTAAAGTGACAGTAATTAAAGAAAGAACAAATTAATTAATGATTAAAAAAATAATACCATCTCGTTAAAATTAAATAATACTCGAGTTTGAGACATTTCTCCTTTGTGTCAAGTGGTTGTAACAATATTATGTAAAGATATAACGGCTTACAGTGGCGAATGTTCTGAGCAGGTTGGCGCGTATGCCGGGCGGAGGCTCGAAAACGACCACTCGGCCAGCGCGCAGCAGGTTGACTGGCAGCTTGGGACTGATCTCCGTGGTGAGGAACAGCCGGAAGTTGGGATGCGGCTGCAGGGAGTGCAACTTCTTCTCCAGTTGTACAAGCCATACCGGAGCTAGATGCACGTTCTTCAGCATTACCCAACTGGAAACAAAACATATAGATTAGTTGTTATTATTTCATATTCACTTGATAACAAATAAAATATGTATTAAATCTAACCGTCCAGTCTTGCATGCGGTGTTGATGGCGCGCTCGGCCTGGTTGAAGCCCTCCGCGGACCCGATAGCGATACTCGACAGTGGCTTGTTCAGCTCTGTCGCCATATCGTCCACACGACCTACACATAACGCAACACTTGTAACATAAATCTTACCCTGGATCTATAATCATGAACATAAAGTTCAAGAAGCCAGTTGATAATTAAGCAAGTAATTTTAACCGTTTAACATTTTTTAATACAGATTGGGTACGTAACAATCTACGTATAGCACGCTGCAATACTACGTGCACAATGTACGTTCGTATTACGTTTTTCGCTCTTTCCCACGTATATCGTAAGTTCTTTGTGTGTAACTTAGTAGTGTAAGTTAGTATTACCGCTAGCGTCATATCCGGGCACGGAGCAGAGTAGCGCGGGTGTGGTGGCGTTGAGCTGCGTGTCGGTGATGGCGGCCAGCTCTAACTCGGTCTCGGCACGCGCCATGAACCCGCCGCCCAGCACCGCACCCACCAGCTGAGTCGCCGCCGCTATCACGCGGTCCGGACGGAACGCCTAAACACCACAGAACATTTCAAACATCATTTATTTTTATTAATGTAATTAACTTAATGCGCTTTTTAAATAACCTATGTGAGAGTGTGTGAGACTGTATGTCGGAGTATACATGTACCTGTATGAGTAGCAGGCGGTACATAGCGAGGGAGTGGGGGGCGGGAGGCGCACTGGGCTCCGTGTCCCATAGTGTGGGCACGCACTGCTCTGGTGCCGCCTGCGCCAGCCACGCCGACAACTCTGGCAGTTCGCTCGCCTTCTCCAGCAGACGGCGGAACTCCGGTAGTCTGCAACACAATACGTTTCCACATAGCGCCACATCATACTGAGATCAATCAAACTTATTATGTCTATACAGTTTTTTCACCCAAAAGTAAATTTGTAATAGTGTAAAGTTTTTATGTGAAGACTATATAAAAGGAAATTGCTATTGGGTATGGATAGCTACAGTTTTTAAGTCAAAATTTTAACTTCTTTTTTCTTAGTTAGTTATGAAAATAGTGAATAGGTCACCTGGAGCTGAGCCTCGCGGCGGCATCGTGCTGCTGGTGTGTTAGCGGCGGCAGGGGCTCTGTGGCGGGCACGAAGCCCTCCTTGCCGCGCAGGAAGACCGCGAACTGGCGCTCCAGCGTGTCTTCTGCGCCAGTACCCTTCAGCTGGATGCGGCACAGCAGCAGCGCGAACGTCAGCCTGTCCGTGTGCAGCATACCGCGCGCCACGCGCTCGTACACCGCCTAATATACAACATATAATTAACAAATTGTTTTTATGGAAAACAACCTTGTGGTTTTAAATACCAAAATAGAACATAATGCAATCACATTTGTGATCTTACTGAGAGTCGTAATTTGATCATAAATAACACGTTTCCAATCCAAACCAAAAATATTAATATAAACGCATTCAAAGTAACCCTTTGGCACTTAAAAATTGTTATCACGTTTCAGACTTATGCTCCCTTTGTATAGAGTAATTTTATTAAAAAATTTCTTCTTCATTACGTCTACATGGAATACAAAAAAATTGTTTAGTAAGGAATAACTTACCGTAAACAGTTCTTCAGTGATGGTATTCAAGCGAGCTGTATAATCAGTGACGCCGCTAAGCGCGGGACACACCAGCACTGAACTAAAGATGTCAAGGAACATCTTCAAGGAGTATTGATACAAGAAGTGAACTTGGTTCAAAGACTCCATAGTAAAGTATATGCTGCTGCACGCCTGAGGATTAGAAAATTGTTACAAATCGTATAAAAAATAATATATCATACTTTGCTGTATGTAAAACTTACTTGTGATAGCGGCAGGTACTGCTGACTGACTGTTTCAATTTCGGCTATAACTTTGTCGGTCTCTTCCACCTGTGAATTATAATTGTCATATTTAGTGTAAATTTTATGAGTTATTTTACCACACTTATAAAAAACTCCATTTGTACTGTAGAAGTTTACCTTCTGTCCAATATCATCGGCTTCCTTCTTGAGCGTCTCGAGCGTGGCGATGACGGAGTCGTCGTCCAGGATCTTGCCCTTGGCGTCATTGAGCGCTTGCAGTAAAGACTTCTCTAATTGCCTCAATCTAAGATGGAACTCACCTGTGGGAATAATTCATAAATTTTACACGTTATTAACGAAATTATAGAGACTTTTTGTATGATTTCGGTATTTTATTGTAACCCGCGCTTCCAAAGCTCCGCTTGATGTTAATCTAACCTGACCTTAAATGCCCTCCCGCAATCCCTTTACACCTAAAATTGTATCCTGCGCAGACGCGTACAATGTTCGGAGCCGCCAACATATTTCCCATAAAATAAATGATTCACATACCCTGCAATTTCAGCAGATCAGAGCGCTTGGTGTCGATGTCGGGGCGCTCCGCCTTGAGCACGCGATGCAGGCACTGGGACTGCAGAGACGAACGCGTCACCGTGAAGTTCACGAAGGTCACACGCGAGCACATGTCTGGCGGGAACTCCACCGTCGGGTCCCTGCAAAATTAAATTAAACAATATAAGCTATAAATATTAACAAATTGTAGAGTCAAACTTTCTCATAGTGCTGAAAAAAATCTATTGTACTCAATTAAATCACAAAAGGAATTGTAACGAGACTCATGCAGCACTTAGACGGTAAATAGGAGAGTACTATGAATGTAATTAAGTAATCATTGAAGGACTGAGTGCGGCAGTTAGTCTTATTCTGTTTATACTATATATCAGTTTTACTGTAAGGAGAGATATTTCAAATTAATGAACAACATACCTTGTGCTGAGGAATATGACGAAGGATGGACTAAGATCGATGTCCTGGTCGCCGAGCGTGATGAGCACGCGGCCGCCTGTGCGCCGCAGCTCGCGATTCAGCACCGGATTCAGGATAGGGTCGTAGTTCTCTACATCCTACACCATGAAGATAACAATATAAATAAGAGTTAATAACATACAAGACAAATATTCCTGAGCGTTTTCTTAATTATTTGTGATCGGTTTTACATCCAAACTTCCAGACAACATGATTTCTGACTTATCATAAATAACAAATGAAAAAATCAAACTTCCTGATAAAAATGATGAGAATATTCATGTATGTATCTGTTTCTTATTTAGACAAAAAATTATATAATTAAGTTAGAACACTAACCTGAACGAGCAGTGGATTGCCGAAACGCAGCGCCGATTCCAAATTCTTCCTAAAGGAGTCATCAAGGAATGATGTCTTTGTGATCTTGCGTTCGTTGAACTCTCGCATTATGAATTCTGTGGCTTGTCCCGATGGGTCTATGATTAATGGATACCGGTTGAAGCGCTGAAATATTTAGTAAAAATAAATAAACAAATGCAGAAAACTAAACAGAGTTTTGAAGTCTAAAAGTTGATTTTTTACATTACTTTCTCACATTTCCAAGGCGAAACATTATGATCCGGTGTTGGTAACATTAAAGCTTTTTTACATACAAATAATTTTATTTTGTTCATCATACTGCTACATTCAGAATACTTTTTAAGTTACCAAGGTTGTTACTTAGTGCTGATCTAATATCTATAAGTAAACAATTAACAAATTTGCGTACGGTAGTTATACCTTTAGCATGATTGCATTTTCAACACACAGCTCATCAGTGGGCAGCGCATTGGCCTGCCAGCGCAGACGCTCGTCAGGGTTGGAAAGGTATTCAGTACGGGCGATGTCCGCGCGGTACTTGATGCTCGCCGCCGCCAGATGGCTCGTCCATGTCGAGAATAAGTGCTGACGGTACTGAATAAACAGATACTCTATGTCAATTATGAACTTCAACTTAAGGTGGACAGTAGCGTGTAATGTTAAGGAAAATCTTTGCTTTGCAACATCTGTATTACAATACTGCTATCCCTCTCATTAACTTTAAAAGAAACAAAGATAGCACTAGTGTTGATATACATATTTGACTTCATGGAGACGGGTGGTGTATGACAACGCTACGACGATATCTGAACGGTTGTATCTGGGTTATTAAACAGATCTAGGTTATCCATATAGAAAATATTTATAGAATATTGATTATTTTACTGAAACATAGACATTTCAAAGATGTAAACTTACGTGTTGGTCAAAGTAACCGCCGTACGCGATGAACGCTGCTGATAGTAATACATCGCCGACTATGGTGCTCATTTGGGAACGGAATGTCTCCGAACTGGACTCCCATCGCTCGCGTTCGATAACCAAACTCTTGAGCAGCGCTATCGACCTGTCCACCTGAAAACAAGCAAATAGGCAATTAATTACTAGAAGCGACAGATTTTGAACATTAAAGTGTTAGAGTTTTTATACTTTACTTACAAGTAACGTGTACAGATTTCAAATAAGACACCTAAAGTAACTTTAATTTGCAACAATTATTTTTGTCTCTAAAATTGAGGCGGTTTTCACAAACAAATAGTAAGAAAGTAATTATATTTTTAGAGTCCAACATACCTTAGCTTGTACATTTTCGAGATCAGTTTTAATAGCTTGTGCTTGACTGATGAGCTGTGCGTACTCCTCCTTGTAAGACGCGATGGACTTCTCCAGCTGTTCAATAAGTTCGCGCACGTCATTGCCAGCAGTGACGTTGGTCTGCGCCTGGTCTTCCAGTGCCTTCAGCTCATTACGTAGAGGTTCAACACGCTTTAACATATCTGCGTATTCGATCTGAAATGTTATTTCATAGGTTTAAATTTCAAATATTTATTAAAAAAGACCGAAAGTAATATATAACAAATACTAGCTAACGCCCGCGACACCGTCCGAGCGGTACTAAAAAAACATTAATAGCTTATGTGTTCTTCCAGACTGTTCTACGTCCATGCCAAATTTCAGCGGGACCGTTTAGCCGTTCTGGAAATACATTTAAGCAAACATCCATCTATCCATCCATCCATCCATCTAAACATTCGCATTTATAATATTAGTAAGAGGTTAATATTTACCTGAGCGATAGCCCATTTGACCATAGGTCCGCAAGCCATACTGGCTCTGTTTACTTTTTCAAAGTTGTAATCCGGATTGCTGAGGTAACGAGTTCTCATTTTCTCGCGTACATCGTCACTAGCACATATTACAAGTGATTAGTAAAAAAATCTCATAGATAATTAAACTTAAAAGATATACAAACGTGAATGATAAAGGCACCTCCACACCACATGTCATTTAAAAAATCCAACCAAGTCATGCACAATTTATATTGACTTTACACATGGACATTGAACAACACTTACCCCAACCACAAAACCATGTGTAGTAGATATCAATGCCTTATGTATTTGATATAGATAGCAAACAAATAAAAAAATATGAATATGGACGAAAACAATAAGCCAGTCTGTATAAATGATTGTAACGGCTTTCTTGGTGTTTTTAACAATATATTATTTATTGGCAAATACATTCATGCATTAAAAAAAACATGTATTTAAATGAAGTGAATACTGAATTCGTATCACTTATATATATATTAAAAATTCTTCACTGTAATGTAAAATCAAATTTAAATATTTTGTTAATGTAATTTTTATTGTTAATTTGAAAGTTGGTAGTAAAAACTGCATACACAAAGTACCCATCACCAAGATCATGCCATTAAGTCCAGCAAAAAGGTAAAATCTTTAACAAAGAATAAGATAAAAAAAAGATTTCACCCGTTCCTTTAAACCTGTATGCTCGCTATACCATGCAAAAAGCGCGCTTAAGCAATAAAAATAAAACACGCAAAAATTATAAAAAAAATCATTCCCTGTCGTAACATGCCAGTGTGAAATTCAATATGATACCATCAGTCAAAACTACTATAATAATTTTAGTTAGTAAAAAAAATATTTCAAATTGTTTTGTGCAATTGTTTAAAATGTCGATTGTGACTTCATAAGCTGTTTTGTGATTGCTTTGATGATTTTGTACTTTAGATATAGATTTCATCAGCCTTTTTCTATGAGTCATATGTTCTTCTTCATAATTCTGATGGTATCCAAGCCTACGCCACCACCATTGAGAATAAAAACGAAATTCATTGGATAGGGAAGTACAAGGATTATGCTGAGCTTCACACAATATAAAATTATTCATAAGGAATGACACAAAAATTATATAAAAAAAAAAGAATTGTATTACAAAGGAAATTAGTATAAAAATGTGGACGAAAGAAAATAAAAGCGGATGAAAGATGATGTGCATCTAATAAAATAAAGCTTTACTGAAAAACGGAAAACGATGAAAATACAAAAATGTAAAATAAACAAAACTGTACGGATAAAAAGCACCAAATACTGTGTTGTAAAGAAAAAAATATCGGGGAAATGGAACTGTGATTTAAATTATGAAAAACTTTTTAAATTTTTGGCATTGAATGGGAAGAGATGTAGAACGGACAAATTCAATACAAGACACAAACGAGGAGACGTCGTAGGGTGGGGCAAAGGGCTCAGGTGGGCGGGGCGAGGGTGAGGGTGGGGCGGGGCTGGGTATACAAGCGGCGGTGCTCACGTGATGTCCTCGGTGGAGAAGTTGGAGACGATGCTGTTGATGAAGTTCTCGCGCATGATGACGGCGCGGATGGCCTTCCAGTCTGTAGCGTTCTCGCCGAGCAGCAGACATATCGACTCGAGCGCCACTTTCACAATCGCCGGCGGGTTTCCCATAGAGCGCACTTCCACCAAATGCTGCTTCTTAATAGATTTGACGGCTGTACAGTGTAACGGTCGGGTGGAGCGTCGGGTGCGCGTCGCGGCCGCCACCAGCGCGAAGCGAGAGCGAGGACAGTACGAAAAAGAGAGAGACAAAGGCTGTTAGCGAGGTCGCTGACTCGTACGCACGTAGCGGCGCGCGTACGCTACTGCCGCCGCGCCCGGTGCGCCCGGTGCGCCCGGTGCGCTCGCGGACAGTACGTCCGCGGCGATGCTTAGCGGTGTTAGTCACATTGTCATTATTAGTGGGCCCTACGTAGATGCCGTTTTATTAATCACATACAAGAGGTACATAGCGTTATTTAACATTTCATATTAAAACAAGACACATATGCAAACAAGCTTAGCGTTATATACATTTTTTATTATTGTAGGACCGACGATGCTGCGGAAGATTGACGATCTAAAAGACGCTGCTTAACAAAATATATTCAACTAAATACATCGCAATAACATAACTAAAGGTCGGATACGCTACAATGTTTTTGCCAATAAATATACAAAGACTGAGAAAATATACGCTTGCTATCTAATGATGATACATGAGAAATTAATATAAGTTTTTAGCTTACATAATCAAGATAGCATGTTGTTTATTACATAAAAAAATCTTAGAAATGCAAAGTATATTGTAGTAATAATGAGAAACAACATGCTACCACAAGGTGACAAAAAGTTGCAACACTAACGTGATATTCTCAGTCTCGAAGTTAACAATAGTGGATATGAAGTTGTCCTTCATAACGACGGACCGGATGCCCTTCCACGTGTCCCCCTTTTCCCCGAGCAGCGTACAAATGGACTCAAGCGCCATCTTGACTACGGAGGGCGGATTGGCCATTGACCGCACTTCCACCAGCTGCTGCTTCTTGATGGAACGCACCGCTGTTCCGTCGGACCATTATATTTAATACTACCTACTTATAGATAACAATAGTGCTATCCCATTCCAAATGAACGCCTAAATCTTATGATTTCCTACAAATCTTGAAATAGACGAAAGTGAAATTGTATTATATAAATAGAATAGAATTCATTGTTTAGATAATTTAGTCTTCATTTGGAACAAGGACTACCTAATTATTGTAAGCAAACAATATTTCAATTACCATTGTTTTCTAACGCAAATCTATCTCACTGAAATACGTTAAATTTATTATTTGGCACACTTTAGCAACACACTAATTAATCATAGAGGTCGTAAAACTTACAAAAAAAAATCACAAACTAAATTTATTTACAAAAAAAAATCATGTAAATATGAAGATTAGGTTCTTCCAACTTTTTCTTATCTTTCTAACAGAAATAAAAAGTCATGAACTTCGAATTATTTGTGGTTTTTTCAAGTAAGAAGAACCTTAATAATTAAGCCGCAAAACTTTTACTACAAAGCAAATACTGGAAATATTAACTATTATATTTAAAAATAAACATAATGATAGGTAAATAACTTGTTATATAAATGAAATAAAGAACCAAACCGTTTTGTGCTTCGATGACGGCCGGCTCGACCTGCGCGAGGTCCGCCATCACATCTCTGCGTTTAGCTTCAATTTCCTTTGTCTGCTTCTCTAATGCAACCTGACGTAGAAATAATACGTGAGAACACAAATTAAGTAAATAAAAGATAAATAACCAATTTTGTCGGACAAAGGTTGAGCCTGGCTATTCAACGGGAAAATGCCGCTAGCCTCTTGGGTACCCTTACCCTGCGAGCGCAGCGATTTCGGCTCGATTTTTTACATTAGTTAGTTTTATTTTTAGTTTGGTTTAGTTTTAGTATATATTTTTTATTAGCTTATGTCTTAGTTTAAATATATATTAATTATTTATATAAGTAAATAGCTAGTTACTAAGTAATTTAAGTTTAAGTTTGCAAATCTTGAATTGTGTTCAATTATGTCACTAAAAAATTCCTAATAAAATTATTAAAAAAGTTGCTTTTCATAATATCAAACCTGAATCTCCTGACTTTCGACTTTCTTCTTTTCAGCTTCATGCTGATCTTTTATCATTTGACGTAGTTTTGCATTGGCCGCCTCGTTCTTTGCTTGAAGTTCCTACAAAATACATTGTAACAATTTGAGTCAACATCTGAATTTAGAAATAATAAATGCTGATTTTAATAAATTAAAAAAAACTTGTATTCATTTACAAATAAAAAAAAATAGAATTTTACAAAAAAAGTTCAAGAGTACTTCTGTTTAGTTCCTCATGAACGTGTCATACCTGAGACTTGACGGCAAGACTCTTCTGCATCTCCTCGACCTGCTCGACAGTCTCGGCGATTTTGCCGAGACCGACATTTAGATGCAGCTGCTGCTCCTCCAGGTCTGCGCGCTTCTCCGCGTACAACTTCACCATTTGCTGGATAAAGTCCAGGTAGTGCCTATAAAGTTTAATGTAGATTTATTATGTAATCTAGGGTTTCCCCTTGTGGCCACGACTCCTGTGTGTTGAACTCTCCGTTATTTTCTTGTACTTTTAGCTATAAGTATTTTCCGGAGGTTGACAGTTCATAAGACCCAAAGTGACTAAAAAGAAAAAAAGGTGTGAAGAGTGGTGGGTGACCTTGGCGTGATGGCCATGGTGCGGTTGGCGCGCTTGGCGAGACGCGCGTTGGCGCGGTGGAGGGTCTGGTGCACGTAGACGCAGGCGTTGACGACGGCGTCGCGGTGCGAGGGGCGCGCGCCCAGCTCGCCGCACGCCGCGGGGAACTCCGCCGGCGCCACGTACTCCGCGCACTCCAGGTCCATGCGCCGAGTGAACTCCTTGCCCACCTTACACATACATACAACATGTTCAAATTACCCAATGCTTTGATGATTCCTACTAATTTAATAGTTAATTAAAATTATCGCTTAGTGTAAATTAAGTAGCGTGCAAAGGATTAGAGGACTATAAAGGACTCTGCGTATGGCTGTATAATTAAATAAATAAATTGATATACGTCCGTCAAAGACTGTCAAGGATATACATAGTTCTTTTCAAATATCTTGGCGGTTCAAGGTCATCTGCTAAGGAAGCGCGCTACTAATTAAATTGTGTTCTGCCCAACGATTCGTATGATGGTCTGAGCTGCTAAGATATTAGACAATCTGTATACCTGGAATAGTGCGCCATCACTCCAGTCTCCGAACCAGTTAAGCACACATCTGTTGAATAGCGCTGGTGAAGTGGCCGCGCGGTCTTTTAGCCCCTCTGAGGACGGGTTCATTGTGAACACCACGTGCAAATTGCGCATCACTTGGCCAGTGAACCTACACGATAACAACACTGTTATAATATCATTTCTTCGGATTGTTTGTATGAGAAAAAGTTACACATTTTAATAATGTAAGTAGATTCATTATTAATTACCATTTATATAATTCGTCGTTAGAATCCAACATAAGTCCCTCTCTTTGCGCACCTTCCTTGCATTGAGTCATCAGAGCTGCGAACTCGTCGCCCTCAAATAGACCAGGCACCTGAACACAAACAGTTTCCACCATTTTATTTGGAACATGCAAATAATATATATAAGAAGACAATAATCATGATAGATGTTTTACTACTACATACGAAGTTCCTATCATTTTAATTACCTCTCCGTTAGCCAGTAATGTATTCATGCGCTCCAAGAAACCACTATCCAGTACATTAGACTCGTCCAGTATGAAGGCGACCTTCTCATCGCGGCATCCGGCGCGGCGCAGCACCGAACGTAAATCTTCATCAAAGTCTGCACCAGTGTATTTGTTGTGCACCTATAGACCAACAAAATATCATGTTGTTGCTATTATGTATTTACAAGTATGTAGTTACAAATTTAATAGATAAGGCACCATTCTGTAATTAAAATCCTTTATATTTTCACACTTTTGTTTTTTTTTAATAATTAATAAGCTAACGCTTGACAACGCTACTCCCTAAGTCTAAATACTGTTTTCGTAATAAAAAATATCATTAAGCGTGCCTCTTAGTGAAGATCTACACTTGGAACTGTTTCAAGCGATATTTAATGTTTGCGTCACATAAAAGTTCATTTTAAAATATTAGAGATTGACGAATGTAAAATATATTACCTTAATTTGGAAGATGCTGAGTCCATTCATCCATGCGACGAAGCGACTGAGCGTGGTCTTGCCGGCACCGGAGACTCCGATGAGTAGCAGGTGGCCCTGTGGCTGGCGGAAGATACGGTCGATACGCAGCACATGATCCAGCACCTCATCGAACAGCACCAAAGGCACATCCAGCTCCTCCTCGTAGAACACCTGCCACACAAAGCAATATTGAGGCCGAGTCTTGAGTTGGCACATCGAGAAGGGTACTGTATAACCTGACGTGACAACTTAAGTGCGCACCCGGTATTTGATTTGACACATCAACATCTTTACATAATAATCAGCAAAACATAAACGATAAATAGAAAATGTAAAAAAAAACTCATTCGTTACCTTTAGGCGAGCTTTGACATATTCTCGAAGTTGATCCCTTTGGACTGGCACGTAATCTTTACTTAACCAGTTGCTGTACAAGATAGGACGAGCCAAAGCTTGCTCCCGGTTGATACCTGTAATTATAAATATATATAAAACAACATTAAATTCCTGTCACACACACTCTTTTATAAATAAGTAATGAAGTGTTGGATTTCTAGCAGACAGCAATGAAGTAATAAAATATTTTACCTGGGAAGAATCTCATAGCGACAGTGTCTATATTTTCATCCGTCCATTGTCTTTCAGAGTCTTCAACTAGACGATCTTGGAACAGACGCAATGCTTCATGCGCCCACAAACGTACCAGACCTTCTACGCTCAGGTTATCCAAAGGCCTACAATCATACATACGTAGACAATATATAAATTTGAAGACGGTATCAAGACGGAGAAGAGGACCCATAGTGTGGGGATACATTCTCTTTCCATAAGTCCACTCCTCTGTCAATAAATAGCAGACAATGTATCTGTAATTGCGGAATAGCGGTCGCTTTGCTAACGCGAATTAAAATAAATACCTAATGGCCTCGCATATGCCGCGCACCCAGCGTGTCATCTCTCTGGGCGAGTAAACATAGTGTGGCTGCATGTCCTGTGTGAAGCGCTCCTGCGACGCGAGGTAGAGGTGTACCATCGCCTGCGTTAGCGGCTCTGCGTACCCGCGCAGTGACGGCTGCATGCGCAGCATCGCACGAGTAAACGTGCCGTAGATCTAACACAACGACCATCATAAATTATATTCAATATTAAAGAAATAAATAACAATATGAAAACGAAAACAAATGAGAAACAAATCGATTTCAAGTAATTACTTGATATTAATTTTCTTCAAATTTACAGATTACTTATACAAAATTATAGCTTTTTTTATTCTTTAAGTAGTTATTGTTAACTTTTATTTTGGCTATTATTAATAATGATTAAGTTACACTATTTTTGTAACGATTTGGGACATTGGAGATATTAAAAATTAATATAGCAATTACCTGTTCGAGTGAAGTTTCCCCGGGATAGTCAACATATATGACAGGGACGTGTCTGAGAAGGCGGTGCGAGAGCGGCTTACGGCCTGGGTCTGTGGGCGGGTTGCACGCGCCCACAAACTGAATGCGCTCCAAATGCACCCACGAATGATCTGCATACATACAAATTATTATTTATAACTTTTTATTTCCATTTTTTAAGAACGAGGGCGATGTTTTAATAGAACATGTAATGATTTTAAAAAAAAAAACTTATAAGGCAAAGCGTAAGATAAACAATTTATTACAATTCACTTAACGTAAGTAGTTAGGAACTAGTAAACTACTTAGGGAATGATGTTACCTGATGCTCTGTAGAAGCCCTTGTGCTCAAGCAGTTGACGTAAGAAAGAGATGACTCGCTGCGTGCCGTACTGATCCATGTCCGGTAGATTGATTTCGTCGCAGAACAGTACTAGCCATTTGCCGAGCTGCAATATGAAACATACAAACAAGAGTTTAGTACAATTCGCACTTGAAATATTTTTTTTTAATTTATATTAAAGTTGATATTATAACAATTTTCATACTGCAAGCAAAGTCGTAAAGTCGTCACTAAGGAAGTGACTTAGGGTGGAAAATCTGCACTAAGAGACGCCCTTAGCGCTCAATTATCGACTCTGGGTACGGCTATGAACACAATTATTATACCTGAACGGGAGCCAACACAACACCGTTGGGCGTCTTCCTGTACTCGCAGTAATGGTCGAAGGTCTTGAGGAGCAACTCCGGCGTGGTGGCGGAGGAGAAGTTGAGGCCGACCACTTCCATGTCAGGTAGTGCTCGGAGCGCAGAGAATAACGTCATCGTCTTACCGGATCCCGGTGGACCGCACAGCACTGAACAAAGATAAATGTGAAAAACACTCTTAGTATGTAATTGTAAGATTTTTTTTTCATAAACTTTAAAACAGACGTAAGAAGATGAAAATTATTAAGCTTTAATTTCACAATTTTAAACACGTACCCAAGGGCTTGTGTTCCGCGAGCCACGTGTACAGCAAGGCCTCATGTCGCACCGTGTCCAGTGTGGGCACCACAACATCGGGCGCCGCTACCTTGTGCGTCTCCACCTCGATCTGAGGCACCTTCGCTGACCACGGCACCCATTCCCCGGTTATCGATACCTATAACAAAAGTATTATTTTAAACATTGCATAACAATAAAAAAACTAATAAAACTCAAAATCTGCTACCTCAGGCCTAATTCGATGTAAGTAATTAGACCCTTTTGAGGGCCTCTCAGAGTATATGTACAATTCGGTACTTACAAAGGATTAAGCGCGTTATTTAATTAGTTTATTGTTCGGGCAATAGTGTACTTTTTAAAATGTTTAATCTAAAACTAACCTCAAAGTCAATAATGTGTTGATTGGCTCCGCAATTAGGCAGGACCATAGTACTAGCTGATCGTATAAAATCACCCAATTCATTCCGGTCCTAAAAAAAAAGAAGTCACATCAGTTTTTGAAGATTCAAGATACCATATGTTTTCTAAGTGTTATAAGTAAACAGGAATATAAAATTACCTTAAGTTTAGCGTCACCCGCGAAAGACCATAGCAACGAATATACCAACCACTTTGGTACGTATGCTTCTAGCTGATCGTTAGTAACAGGGAAGTCGGGATGCTGTCTGTTGTACGCGAGTATATTCCTCACGCCGCGGTTAAGCATCGAGTGTAACGAGGATAAAGCGCGGTGTCGAGTGAAATCCATTATATGGTCGAGAGAGACAGCGCGTTCGAGGCACTTTACCACGAGGCCATCGCCGTAGAACAACGGTTGAAGGATCGCGGCTACGTCGCGTTGAGTCTGAAAAAAACGTATTCCTCTATTAATAACAAATAATTTCAATTTTAAAACAGTACCTAATTATTTACAAAAATACTACAGGCTCCTTTAATATCTTTCATAAACAATGTAACTAAGTTAACTACTTTAGGACAGTATCAGAATCCTTTGGCGTGAATGGCGAGTATTTTTACCAAGTCAAGTGTCAGATTGATTAGTGAGGGGATACATAAACGTTGACATTTTAATAAGGCTAGTGTTGCGCCAGTACACCGGCACAAAGTCGGATTTTACTAACACTACTTACTAAATTCCAAGTTATAATTACCTGTAAACCGGGTGATAGTATATTTTCTGTCGCATTCTGATCTCCTCCAGCTGTTGGAGCTGCCATTACGATGCTGAATGAGTCTTCTTCACCATCCTCCAATGGAATATTTCTCAATCTAGAAACAATATATATATGAACACAGTGAACTTATCTTAATATAAGTATTATAATTTTAGTGTATTACCTCAACAAATAATTCTCAAATATCATCTCAGTTGTGAGTACGTCTTGTGAGAACCAAACCATACCGCAACGCGATACTGTAGCCAGCGTTGCATATTTTAGATCTTGCACCTGGATGGAATAAATTATCATCGTTCCAAATTACTTGAAAAGTCGATAAAGATATGAGAGAATATTATTTCAATTATTTATGAACACTTATGTAATTACCAATGTTATAAATACAAATGTTTAGATGGATGGATGGATATTTGCTGTTAGGTATCTCCAGAATTACTAAAAGTATCTCGCTGAAATTTGGCATTACTAACATAGATTAGAAGAACACATAGGCCACTAATATTTTTTTTAATTCTGCGCGGACAGAGTCGCTAGCATTTGTTTCTATTAACATTTGATTTCGTTTAAATATTTAGCCGATAGTAATATTAACAATTTGATTCATTTTCTCACCTCGAACATGACGCGTACGTTGGGCGGCAAGGACAGACGCTCTCCGTTGGGCAGCGTGAGCAGCTTGTTATCATCCAGCACGGAGTTCAGATTCTCCACCCACTCAGGGTCCACATCGCCGTCGAATATTATCCATTGACGCTTGTTAATCTCACCACGAACATTATCGATTATTTTCCTAAGACGAGACAAAGTTTATATAATATAAGATTTTCATTAATATATATTCGCCCAATTTCAGAACAAAATGACAAATGGCATAATGGCAAAACAAGTGTTAAACTTACCTTAAAATATGTGTGAACAATCCGTCAGTCCATTCACGGGTGTTCGGATCTAGTACACCATACAAGGTCTCCTTTGACATTGCTTTCGGATCGATTACATGAGCCACGCCTTCTACACCTTCGAATCTATAAAGAAATAAACCTTTTAAATTAACAATTTGTATTATAGAATTAGAATCAAAATGTGTTATGGACCGTTCACGTATTGAATTTTGTCCATGACTTGATAATATAAACTATGAAATTGGTTATATTTACCTTTCTAGTGCTTTGAGTAGTACACGCCAGGCGGTGGACTTTCCGCTGCCAGATGGACCGACCATCATCAGACCGTGGTTCAGTTTACAGATCTGGTATAACTGCAGCACCTGTAGTCATATAAAATTGGTATCAATTTATTTAGAACTTAAAAAAACAAACTGGCAAATGAGAGAGAATATGTGAAACAGTTTTCAAATAACAAGCGAAGAAAAACACATAAAAGCTTTTCCAATGTGGCGCTAAATGAAATTATAATAAACATTATAATATTACTATACTGGGAGCTTAAAAACAATAAAAAGTGGCTAGAAATAAAAAAAACAGACAATTAGAGATAGAAATTGATTGACAAAACCTGACTTAAACATACTGACATTAAAGTGAATTTCCACTACAGAATTACAGATATACTCATTAATTAAATAATACATCTGTGATGAAAATGTACACAAAATAAATCACAAAGCAATAAGAATTTATATTTAACTGTTTTAATACTCATTTTAGTAGTAGTAGATTAGTGTATTAACTTAGTAACTAAATATGTAGTACATTAAAATGTTAACACCTTAATAAAGAATGGTTAAAATTGGCGCTTAAGTATTTAAGTAAAGACTTCTTTTGGTGTGTATATACAGATATGAATGAAGTCCAAGAATAGTTGAAAAATGTGCACCTCTCAACCAAAACGAGGAACTTAAAGTTATGAAAAGTGACAATGATAGCGTAGTATTGTGTGTAAATCATCCTATCTTCATGAAAAAGAAAGATGCACAATACATGATGTGCAAAGCTAAAAAATGTTTGTGATAAAATGGAAATGCAGAACAAAGACTGTAAGAAAACAAATAACTGGAACAAGCACCCGTAGAAAGAATCTGCAACTTGGCTAGTTGATAAAATTAAGATTTTCATCGTATTTCTTCTGTCTGGCACACAATTTAATGTTTCCATGGGAAAAATATAAGGATATATCTAGATATCAGTTGACCACAAACTTTATGCTATCGGAAACAAAATTTATGAAAGCTAAAGATTTGATCAATCCTAAAAAGCGATACACATAGAGAGAGAGAGAGAGAGAGAACTGAGGAGAGAAGAAGGGGGTAGGAGAAAGACACAAGAGAGGGAGAGAAAGACAAAGACAGAGAGAGTGAGAGAGAAAATACATGTCTCGTTTATATCTACTTTGTATCACACGGTGACAAGTATCTGTGATATAGAATCTTCATGCATATCTTATTTTTTAATATTTTTCCCATGGCAACACATTGCATGTTCAACAAGGCGCTGGGCGCTGGGCGCTTGGGGCAGAGCTGTGGGCACTGACCTTCTCTATCCATGTGCTGTGCTGCGCGCGCGACGACGCGTTCCTCCTCTAGTGCCGTTAGCGGGTTAGCATGGAAACGCATATTCATTCACACAAGGACACGATATCAAGTAACCGTGCCTCAACAAACTATACATATATTGTATCGAATAACTTTAATCTTTTCAACGATTTAGTATATATTTTAAGTTATGTTAATCCTTGTTTTCAATACAATAGAGCATAGTTTCTCGCGATGATAAGCAAAAATATCAAAAATTAGTTATCGTTAATGAGTTAATAATAAAATATTAATAAATATTATAATGGCTGGTCACCATCACCTCGATATGATATAAATGATATATGACAATAACTTAAATGTGCCTTTAATGGTTATCATGTAGCAAAACAAGACCATATGTGAAACTTGATGTCTGATGAGACGATTCCTTTCTTCAACTAAGACCAATTGAGTTAAACCTTAAACCTTATTATCACCATTTTGTTAAATAAAACATTTTAATATTTAATATGAAAGTACCTTGTCCATCCAAGTCGATCCTTGTTCGTCACCTTCACCGCAAACTAAGAACTCTTCGGCACAAACCGCGCGGATTTCATTCTTCAAACCTATTTTGTATTAAGAACATAAGTTATTTATAAAGAAATTTATTACTATCATTGCTAATCAACACTATGGAAAAAAAACGTATGGACAATGTATAGTAGAATAATACCACTTCCTATAATCAGAACATCGAGTTATCATTTTTATATGACCCGATCATTAAGCAAATATTGAAATCATAAAAAAAATAACATAGGTCTAGAATTATAAATTCCTTACCAGTCATTTCAGCTCTCGTGTATCCAACATTAGGGAATACATCATTTAACAAAGAAAACAGCAAGGGTATATCTTCAGCCACCAACTTGGGTACCATTGTCTCGCAGACTGACTGTATGAGAATGTCTTGCTCTGGTAAGGACTCAGCAATGGAGGCTTCATCTGGTACTTCAGTACCACGTTCTATTAGATTCTCCTGCAACACACATCACAAAACATTTTAGATTACTTACTTAACTTAGAGAACTTTTATGAACATTATAAATATTTTTACAACACTTCGATTTCTTACAGTGAAGGAAAATATCATGATGAACCTGCACATATCTAAGAAGAAATTCAGGATATATATGAAGTCAACACGCACTTGGCCAGTGTGGTTGACTATGGCCTAGTCACCCCTAATTTAGGGTAGGCTCCGAGCCCCTCAGTGAGGATGTATAGGGAGCTGATGATAACATTTTAAATTTCGTATTACTTTATTAATCAGAACCTTTTTTTAATTAAAAAATATATATATAATGTAACCTTTGAGAAATGTATAGGTGTTTCGATTAAAGAAAGATATACTGTTTTAGTAAAATTTATAGAAAAAAAACTCTGTCTAAGTTACCTTTATCTTCTGTATGCGGTCACGTTTGACATTTCCTGCAGACACCAGCACTGACTTCAGAGCTCGCAAACCAAAGTCGTAATGAGATTGATTCGACAGTTGTTCGTCGCACAATCTACAAGTAAACTAATGATATATTTTTGGAATAATGATAGTGGAAAATAAAATTAATGATTTACCGAGACTAATAATTTTCTGAAATTTCTAATATTATAAATATGAAAGTTTAGGTGAATGGATGGATGTTTGTTAGAACATATCTCCAGAATGGCTTCATAGATCTCGGTGAAATTTGGCATAGATGTAGAACATAGCCTAGAGGAACATATAGGCTACTATTTTTTTTAAATCCCATTATCATTTATCAGGAAGGAGTGTAACGATACTCACTTGAAGAATGGTACAATTTTGCAGGCCAACTTCTCGGCAGTCCTGAAGCCCTGGCTGAACAGCATCACCTCGGCGATGAGCTGTCTGTCAGGCGTGGTCATGGCGAGGCTGCGGAACAGCTTCTTCAGATTGTCGGGCAGATTGGAGCGGCCCGCGTATCCGGGGTTCATAGTTATAAAGATTGCCATGTCTTGACTTACACGCACTTGTTTACCAACCAGTTCCACTGTTATGGATTTAGCTGAAAAACGATTTGTTAATTTCTGAATAAATTTAATTACTTCATCGTATATAAAATATTTTTGTTTTCTTACTACCCATAGTATTTCTTTTTATAGAAAAGAACCTGGTAGAATACATTACATCAGTATCAAAAATAAATATTTCATACCTGTGTTGTCACCTTCTTGATGGCTCTTCAATGCTTCCTGAATAGTCTGCACCTGCTGGGACACGGCCGACAACATTCTCTCCTCCAGACGATTGAACTCATCAAAGCAACCCCAAGCACCAACCTGACAAATAAACAATAAAAAATGCAATCATAGTCTGCAAAATTGTCAATATTACTAAAAAAAATAGATGAATATAAATTATGAATGTTGTAGAAAAATTGACGTAGTTACCTGGCAAAGACCGACGAAGATTCTTCCCATTGCTTGGAAGTCGAATGTCTCATCGCAATTGAACACTAACACAAAACGGCCGAGCTGATTGCCCAGCGCCTTCACAGATTCCGTCTTACCGGTACCCGCCGGTCCTAGAACACACACAAATTGATTCAAATACCTAGAAGAATTATTAAAAATATTTAAGCCTTCCAGCTAGTTAGTTTTACGTTACCTAGATTGTGGCATAATCTTTATTATTTTCTTTAGGATTGCATTAAGTATTGCTTAAATATATTGAAAACTAAATAATCGCACAGAAAATCAGTGACGTAGATATCTTTTCTCTCATTCTAACACTGATTTTACGCCTATACATTTTCTGTCTAACAAATGCCACCACATTTACCTTTTTATCTATCTTACTTCTTACTAATATTATAAATGCGAATGTTTACATGGATGGATGTTTGTTAAAAGATTTTTGGCATAGATGTAAAACATAGTCTGGAAGAAGACACAGGCTACTAGTTTTTTTAAATTTCGTGAGGACGGAGTCGCTTGCGACAGCTAGTAATTGATATATTTACCGAATGGCGATCCGCCGAGGCGAGCCTCTAACGCCTGAGTCATGGTGAGATAGCAGCGGTCTGTGAGCGGAGTCTGCACCAGCCGGTCCTGCACTCCCAAGTACTCGAACCCGTACAAGAACTTAGCATTTGCCATGTGGATAGTCAGCTGTTGTAACACCTGTACACAACATTATACATTATTATTATTAACCATTTAGCCAACTACTAATAAATACATTTACGGTAGTGTTTACATGTTACTGAATATATACCAGCTGTCGCCCGCGACTCCGTCCGCGCGGGATTAAAAATAGATGTTGGCCGAATCTCAGACCTACTCTATATGCTCACAAAATTTCATGAGAATCGGTCAAGCCGTTTCGGAGGAGTATGGGAACGAAAATTGTGACACGAAAATTTTCAGTTTTAAGACAGAGGATGTCTCTTCTAGTACAATAATGAGGTTATTGCGTTTGAAATGTATAAAGATGCAATAAATAGTCTTGTTAGAATTAAGAATTATAACAATTTTCGTAACATTGTTAGTATAATAATTAGAATAACAATAACATTTTGAATGATTTGGGTAACTTACATCATTATTCCTATGGTCGAAGTAGAATCTCATCTCGCAGAGCCACTCGAAGGAGCGCGCGCTGGTGACGTCAGACGCGATCAGACGCCGCGTCACCGTGCGCTTGTGCACGAACTCGTTAATCTGTCACAAACACAAATATACTTCGTTTCAAGTAACAATATTAACGTTCAAGAATTTAATATTACATTCTTTCTAAAGATAAATGTTTTTCTACATGTGTTTTCGGTAATCCACGCAGTAATATTGCTCACCAGATGTTCAAGCTTCCTCCTCCTGAGCGGTGGTTGTTCCTGCAGCACGGAGTCAGCGAGGATGTTGAGCATATCCTCTACGTGGGTCAGTACTTGCTTGAGTCCATCGCCGCCGCCGTTAGACAGCGCGTTCTCCACATCCTCCGACCATAAGATCTGAGCTGCTAGCACCACTATTTGAGCCTAGGAGATGAAATTTCAGTTTAATATTGTGTGTTACATTTTCCGATAATTTTATTAATACTTGGATATCATCAGGTCTTTGACTTACCTGATATTTATCGCACCATTCAATAAACTTCTGAGGGTCGACATTGCCGTCTTTGAACTGCTTGATATCGGACACTGCGTCCTTGAGGCGGCAGGCGAGGGTGACACGCATCTCACGCTCCACTAGCGACAGCCACGAGTTGATCTTCGGGTTCTCGATAGTCGACACCGGAGATGTAAAGTATACCTAGGAAATAATTAACATGAAGCTTGAAACCGCTATTTAAAAAGGAAGGTTTTCGAAACTACATTTATCGTAGTAATATTACTGAAGAATTCAAAGACAAATAACGAAGTAATTTTCTAATAATCCGGAACATCGACGTGATAACATACCTCTTCACCTTCTCGGGACGCGATACCATTTATAACGGTGTTATCTTCATTAAGTATGATGGCCGCGACGCCGGCGAACATCTTCTTGAAGTGCTTCTGGAGCCGGGCGATGTTCTTGCTGTTGCCGATTATCTCCAGCAGGTCCTCGTCACCCACGAAGTAGAACCTAAAGTCATTAATTATTTTTAAAAGTAGTTCATTATTTGGGACTATAAAATTAAAAAAATGCAAACTTAATTTAGTCGCTTTTGATCAAACAAATTATTTGCTGCCGATATTTAAAAAAAATATGTCATTAGGTTGGACAGACATTTCAGTAAGAGGCTCGATAGTCTGAATAGTCGATTTATAATAAAATATCGTCATATCAACGTATGGCTCATCTTCGTCACATATTGGCAACAGAGCTGAATACTACTACAAAATGTATGACTTTAGTACAGTATTAGAAAAGTCATACCGCGGGAAACTGCTCCTCTCTCGCTCGAGGTATTCTCCGAGTGCCTTCTGTATCTTGCCGAGCAAGTCCGCAAGCCGCTCCAGCGAGCGCTGCACACCAGGGATATTCAGCACGTCCATCACCATTGGGGACTTGCTCACCTTCTTCATCAGACCCAGGAACTCAGAACTAAAATATAAATTATTTTTCGTTGTTTAATAAAACAGCGTTATTGCAAATACCATCATCATACCATCATATTCATATTTTTAATAACAATAAAAACGGTAATATAAAGAACAGACACAAGAAAATTTCTAACTAAAAGAAAATTAATCATTAATTTGTAGAAAGTTGTACTTATTAACCTGATACTCTGGAAGCGGCTAGTCTCCACAGGCAACAATGTCTTGATATCGGCGGAGCCGCTGAAGATGCCCTCGAGGTAGACCCAGCGGCGCTGCACGTCGATCCACACGTCGAATAGCGCGTTGATGCGATTCAGTTTCTCCTCCCATGTCAGTGCTTCCTCTTCGAATACCTACAAACAAATACATAACTTGTTAAGTTCACAGTGTGTTCACAGTGGTAAATATATACACAAAAACATATTACCTTAGTAGTATCTTACTAAGAGAACCTAAGTTATAACAATATATTTTGTATGGATGTTTGTGTATCCGTAACAAGAACAATAAGACAGTAAAACTCTTTATGTTATCTACAAAGACTGTATAGATGGCTAAGGAAATCAAGTTATTTCAACAAGATCCTGCTACAATGATAATTTTACCTTATAGTATGGCGAGAGCTTCATAGCTGCGACGCTGTTGATGTGCTCCTTGACCTTGTTGAAGAGATCGTCCCAGCCACGGATGATCTTGCACTTATTCTGGTAGTTGATCAAGTCCAACTCATAGCTCTGCCATGACTCGCGAACCTATTTCATATGATAAAATAAATGTCAATTATACTGAAAAGTCGACGAAGCATAAACAGATGGCAAATTTATAGCAAAGATTCCAGTAGCAATTTGTAGTCGGTACCTGTTTCAAGAACTCCTCTAGCGCCATCTCTCCCTGCGCCACGGACACGACATCTTTGACTGTGTGCTCGTTGTGCAGCAGGTCGGCGTCCCACACCTGGCCCAGTGTCAACTCAGAAAGCGCCCACTCGACGCGCAGTGCGCGGCACAGTTGCCGCCAGTGTCGTTCCTTCAGCGCGTCAGACTTCAGTTCCACTATCAACATGTTCACCTGCAACAACAAGAAAATTAATAACATACTAACACAAAATAGGATATATAACACACTAGATGTCGCCCGCGTCTCTGTCCGCGCGAAATTATCAAACATAATGAGTAGCCTATGTGTTCATCCAGACTATGTTGTATATCTGTGCCAAATTTTATCTAGATCCGTTAAGCCGTTCCGGCAATACCTTCAAACAAACATCCATCTATCTAAACAGAAATCTACTTCTAAAATAATGTATGTAATAATGTAAGTCAGAAAGTCATGTGATGAAGGAACTATCATGTTAAAAATATAAAGTCATACAAACCTTGGTGTATGATTGCAGTAGTTTGCGGACGTATTCATAGCTGTCATACATGCGGAGTCTTGCTGGCAGCTCTTTGAGTTCGTTCAACATTGCTTCTAGTTGTTGCCTAAAATTGTCATTATTTTTATGTATATTATAACACTAAACACTGGTTTAAAATTGTTTCTTTTTTTTTTTGCATTATGTCTCATTCAGATTTTTAAAAGAATATTTCATATTATGTAAATACAGAAAATAATAACCTTAGCTTTCTGGGCTGTATGGAGAGCCAGGGCTTCTCCCTAATGTCGTCAATCTGAGTCCAGATCTTGCTGAGTGACGACCACACGCCGCGCAGATCCTGCAGCTCCTCCATCACCACGGTCATGCGCTCGTTGTTTACTGAACTGCCTGTTTAATACAGATTCAAATTAATTATTTTAAGCCTATAAGCAAGAGTTTCTGTCTTATAGGATTCGTTTGGATAAACAAAAGTTAATGAAGTAAAAAATGTAACGAATAATTAAAATAACAAGTTTCCAAAAGAATTTAAACAATTACCAGTATCATGGAGCTCGAGGGCCTCTTTAGCCTTGGCGACATTATCACGTTCATCCTTGAGCTTGGTGTACCGTGTCTCCATGACCTGGAGGCGAGCCAGTGCGTCCTCCGGCCGTGTGGAGCCGTCTGTCGGCTTGTTGCGCTCCCACTCGCCCAGGAATTCCATCGTACGAGTCTCCACGGCCTTGTCTTCAGCTACAATCTTTTGCTGGAGTGATGCGACCTGGGAACGATATTACGATTTAGTAACATCCAATCTGTATAAGATTAAGTCAGTCTTTAGCAAGCTTACTTTATATCTTTAGATGAAATTAATATATAATATAATAAATATATCAAAGATGATACTAACTTGGGTCTGAATAGAAGAATCCTTCCTACGCATGATTTCGTTAAAAGCGCTCCATTCACCTTCGATGTTATCAACATGCAGCCATTGAGTTGGGAATTGGAATCTGTAAGGATACATAGTGTAAATTCTTAATTTCTTTGGTTTTTTTTCAATATCTTATATTTTTTTAAGCCAATCACATTTTCCCAACCTCTGTCGTTCCAAGATGCGCTGAGCCTCCTTGTAGGTATCGACTTGTTTCTCCCAAGCCAACACTTCTCTCTTCAGTTGTTGCACGTAAGTGATAAGAGAAACCGCATCGCTGGTAGACGCCGCCTCTGTTGTTAATAATTCTTATTTATAATAAACACAAGATTCTCCTATATCTTAATCAGTCTAAATGTTTTTATACATATTGTTTTCTGCATTTCAATGATAATGTGAAAGCATACATTACTTGTTTTTTTATAACCGTTACGGTTCTTAAAGCCTTATTATCTAATGATTTTTTGCCTTTGTATATTGGAAAAAAAACTCTTATATCTTTTAAAGAATAAACAAATTATATTAAAGTTCTCTTTCCAAGTTCTCCTTACCGATGGTCTGCTGCTCGAGTTGTCCGCGCGACTTGGCGAGGCGAGCGTGGAACTGCACCATCTCTCCGCCGAGCAGTGCGCCGAACTTGCCGAGCACCTCCTTGTGCCAGGCGTCGTACTTCAGCGCAACCTTGCTTTGTACCCGCGCAAAGTCGATCACAACCGGCCCGTACTCACGTCGCGTGTCCGATGTGTCGAATGTGGTGCGAGATTTCCTGGTAGGGGCCACGATCAAATATAACTTTGACAATGTCTTTATATCGTATCAAAGATATACATAGTGTAGTATAAAACATTTGATTTCAATATTAATGAAATATTTTACTAACTTAATATCATTGAGACACTTGATCCACAAAGTAATGTCTTCTCCGAGACGTCCATACAATGTTTCCGGCTGCAGATCCCATAGCGCTTGGTAACTATAATAAAAAGTAACTCATTAAAATTACAGAAAAAATTAACACGTTCTATGCCACTATGACTTTTCAAATAACTTGTTAACTATAAAACGTACCGTAGCCATTCATCGACGTATTCCCTAACTTGGGATATCTTCTGTTCGATAGCGTCATACGCGTTCTCTAATGGCGAGGAGCCGCCCGGCAGCTTGGTCAACAAGTTCCTGTACGTCACGGTCTGCGTGCGCGCCACGCCCACTTGATATCTGTAATAAATAAGGAACTGTCGTATTAATATGCCATTACAAAAGAGACACGAAACAAGGTGTTAGGTTTGCAAATCTTCAAATATGTAAGTTACTAACTATAAAATAATTACAATTTACTAGAATGTCGTAAGCTCTAGTAAATTATAATGACTAATGTGTTTAACCATACCTGGTGCTCTGTAGGCGGTGCAGGCTGGTGACGATAGCCTGCCAGGCAAACATCTGGCGCATGAGCTGGAAGCGCGCCTCCTCTAGCGACGGGAACAAGTACATCTGCTGGTTGGTGATGCGCACCTCGTGCACCACACGCGCGATCTGTGCAACAATAACACATTTGGATATACTGGGCTTGCATATGCACTTATGCTCGAAAACGCACACATGTACACCAGTACACACGCACACGTACGCACGCATCTACGCACGCATACGTAAAAGAGATTGTCAAGAATAATATACCTGCGGTTCTCCACCCGGCTTGTGGGTTGGCTCGGCAGGCGAGTATGTATCCATGGAAAGATCCAGTTCATTAGCCTTTCCTAACAAAGCCATAGTCCAAGCTTCGATACCGGCTTGGAGACGCGCCGCCAATTTCTTCTCAACCTAAACGTAAAAATTATCATTATTGTCTGCTCACGCTATTTTTTTGTTGTCATAGTGTAATATCATTTCGTTTAAGTTCTTTCACATGATCATAAACATACCTCTTCATCAAGACGCTGCACCCACAGATGCAAGTTGCTGTACTGGCGCAGGGAGAGGTCGTCGATGGCGCGCTGCAGCCGGCTCAGGATGTCAGCCAGGCTCTGCGCTGAGTACGGGCAAGTCTCCAGCGACCGCGTATCCACTGATATCTGCTCCTCCACTGCCAGTAGATCTTCAACCTGATAAAAAATATTACGTTAGAAAAAAATCAACATATTATTATGACTGTTTTTAAAGACACCGAAATGCAATAATGTTTAGAGGGTTCTAAATAACTGTATTACACAGAATGATATAGATATAGGAGTGTTCAGACTGTGTAAACCGGTTAGGTTAGACTAGCTTGTGACTGGAGATCAGTTCAAAGCAAAAGCTTTTTGCAGATAGCATTTTTTAAAAACCTACATTCCTTTGATACAAAGAAATAACGTATGACAATATATTCTAATTACCTTCTCTTGGAACAACAGAACAACTTCGCTCAGCTTCTGTACGTAGGGGTCCAGCTTGAATGACTCCCAGACTAGAGCCATACCCTCCGACACCTGATTCAGTACATCACGACGCAGACCCGCCACTAAAGGTATTATAGACGCCTTGTCTCGTATCTACAAATTATAAACACGTAAGAAACGTCGAAAATAAAAAAAATAGATATACAGGTAAGTAGGTAACATTAAATAACACTAAATAAATGAAAAAAAACTACATATTAAAAAAACATTACACTAAAACACAAAAAACATCCCCTCTATAACACAACATAAAAATACGATTTTATTTGATTTTAATAAAATATAGTGTGTTATAGAAGGGTAAAGGTGTGGAAAATAATTTTTTACACATTATAAGAAGCCAAATAATATCATAAGAAGCATGCTGTCTAAAATCACTACCTTTGTATACGTCCTATTATTCAGCTGCGTGAATACAAATGCATGTGTTAGTAAACTCATTTGCCCTGTCTATTTATTCATTATACAACAGTGAGATTATATTTAGGCGCAATGTGTCAAATTCACCTGTGCTTAAATATTGTGTATATAAGTTAGATTTTATATACGTACCTTTTCTAGAGTGCGTTCGTATGTACGAACACTTTCGATGAGCGATATCGCGTATGGATAAAGTTGGTTCGCCTGATGAGCCTTGTTCACTATTGCCAATGGTACTCTGGGGATAAATATAATAAAAATAATAAAAGTATTTAAATAGAAATGACATATATACATCAATGATGAATATACATTGCGAACCCTTCTAAAGTTTTTAGTAATTCTATAAAATAAATGAAATATAAATGGTACCTGAATCCAAGATTCTTTAAGTTGCGTACTTCTTTGTACAACGTGATAATTTCAGGTAAAAAGTTGACTTTTAGCTTCAAGATTGTCCCAGTTTTGCTGGAGCGAGCGCGCACGGATTCTATGGCGAAAATTCTTCCCGACACACCGAGATTTCGTTGCTGCACCTATTATATAAACGACATTGTAATATGAAAAATAAAATACGTATCTGAAATATAAAAAAAAAAAACTTCTAAACTTACCTTTCGTGCCCAATCATCAAAGACTTCTTGAGTGTCCAATTTTAAACGAAAACTATCACCGTCGGCTTTCAATTTTTGTCCCTCAATATGATTTTCCCATCCTTTGCCTGTAAAAACAAACATTAATAAATATTTACCACAGAATCAGGAAAATTTATTTTATAAAGAATTTAACATACCAAGAACATCTTCTACCCTCTTCAAATAGGCAGTTAGCTGATGATCTATCTGCTTCGCCCAGATGATGGAGCCGGCTACTGGCGGCAAGTCGCGCACCAAGGACAAACGACTGCATTTCGATTGAGGGTATTGCACCTAATAAAAAAAACAAGTTATGATAAATTCAAACTGTGGATTTTAAGAATTATTATTGTTCTCAGAAACTTCTGAATTGTGGTAAATGTTAGTGTATAGTTAGTTCCGCCATTTTTGAGTCTAACAATTGACATATTCTCTCTTCACTAATTTTAAGCATCAGTGAGGCGCAAAAAAAACTACGGGGAGTGGCATAACTCAATACATTATAAAGTTTGAATGTAACAATACCTTGAACTTCTCATGCAATGTCTCGATGTCGTCTTTAACACGCTGTATGAGTTGTGTCTGGTACTCGCGGATGGCGCCGCGGATGTGTGGCCGCACGAACAGGGCATTGAACCGCGAGAAGATGCGGAACATCTCATTGGCGTTCTTCGCAGTACCCAGCTGGTCGCGTAAGTGCGCTGTGATGCGAGTCTCCACGCGATCTGTACATACATACATACATACATACAGTTCCATACACTTTCATATACAACTGATTGTAACTAGTACATAACATTATGTATAACAGTAAAACTTAACGGATATATTTTGTTATTTTGACTTACCAATTCTATCTTCATATCGACGTACAGCCGCTTCCCACGCATCGCATCCCTCCCTCGATATATCCAAACAATCCACCTCCTTCACATTTTCATACGCCAAGTTGACCTAGAACAATTTTTCAACATTACATTATGAGGCAGTTTGAACGATTATTACCTGAAGTTGAACTTTATTCAATAAAATTATTAGTATTGTATAATTATACATGAAGGGGTCCATACCTCAGCGATGGCGTTGGCGTCGGCGGCATCCATAGGCAGCGAGAGCGGCTGCGTCACCTCCCCGCCCGCTTGCTCTGCGTTCACAGTCACACGGGGACGCAATACCTAAAGCCAGATAATCATTTACCTTTATCTTTACGTAATACAAAAATAAAAAATAAGTAAAAAGAGGTTTTATAGATTTAATTGAGCAGAATATGCCATGAATGGCATTAAACAATACTTTATTTCTTGTAAAAGTACCACAATATTGCGATAGCCTTTAAGGTTTAGTAGATACACTGCAGTCTGATCACATAATGACGACCTTTGTTAGTCTTATGCAGTAGTGATCCAGTAACATTAATTAGTTCGTGGCTAGTGTTATGCAGAAGTGCCACCTTGCCTTCTCGTATACTTACACGTAACATGACAGTGCGCAGCTGCTCGTGGTGTCGTCGGAAGCGACGCATGTGCTCCATACGCGCCTGCAGCCGTTTGTGCGACGGCGATACGCGCCATACCATCTTTATGTGCTCGTCACGCTTCTTTTTCACAATGTCCCTGTATATAAACATCCCACATTTAGGTATATAGAAAAAATATTTAAGTATGTACGTTTTACATAAATCAACAAAACCTTTACGCCGTAATCCAGAGGATCAGAGGGATAGGCTCCGATCACCTATCTTCCATATTCATACATCTATTACTAATACATACTCGTCGGTTTCGGATGCTCTTAATACCCCGTGAAAGTTGAAATGTTGAAATAGACAAATATGTTATTCATAGTTCTTTTATATGTTATTCCGAAAAAGGTACTTAAACGAATCTTACCTCAAAAGACCTTGTAGTTTTTCGAACTCGTCATCCCAGCATGAGAATACTTCAAAGCACTGAGTCATAACCCGTTCAAAGTCTTCAAATGGAATATGCATCAAGCGTCTTGTGCCGAGAACCTGTTTATATAATAACGTTTATTTATTTCAAATATGAGCATATTTTTTTTCAACCATTCTAACTAAGGTAAAAGCTTTTGCAAAGATATGATTTAAGCTATGAAATATGTATCAGATGTGCATGGGTGTCGTTGATCACCCCAGTGTTCCTTCTGCTTGTTTGCCCCTTCTCTTATAAAAAAAATATCGTGATTCTAACCCACGAGCACACGATCTCGTGTCAGTCCATTTAACTATTAGGTTATTGGTGTTTTATTTACCAGTTGCTTGAATCAATTACTAACCTTCAAGAGTTGCTGACCTAGATCTCGTGAAATAGCTTCAACAAGTCTCAGACCACGCTGGATTGGATATTTCGTAGATCGAATCTTACGAAGATGCGAGAATATTTGTTGCACTGCCAACCTTGTAAATAAAAAAAAATAGAAATTTGTTTTAATTTATGTGTTGTACATAATTCTATCAGTTTCCACTGTCGAAACAACTGTATAAAACATTTATTTTTTCAAAGCTTAGGAGAATGATGACTATGTTTCTGTGAATGTTTCTTCAGTGGAAACATAATTTAGATGGCTATAACAATTTTTGTTTACCTGATTCTCTCTAGTTCTGTAGCACTAAGTAGATCATTGATGGGAAAGTCTTTCATGAGCGGATTGTAATCAGAGACTGTAGCGAGAGCCTGCTTCAGTCCTGTATCGGTGTCAAAAGATACGGTCGCGTGGAAACGCTTACCATACTTCAGTATATCCAGAGTTAAAGCAACCTAAAATTTATAAAATAGTGTATAATGGAAATATTTGTACTTTTACTTACTAATATTATAAATGCGAATGACCAATGTTTATTATCACAAAGTTCCACAAAGGCTAAATGGATTTCAATGAAATTTGTTATAAGCTAGTAATTTTTTTTTTAACTTCACAAAGACGAAGTCTCGTGCTTTGGCTAGTCTAACAAACTCAAAACTACTGGAACGATTTCTAAAATTCATTCACCATAAGAATGCTACATTATTCCTTAGTAACAAAGCGTCACTAGTTGGGTGGGATAGGTACAGTTTATTAAATTCTATAAAAAAAATTGCAATATTTTAATCCAACTTACTTCAATGCTTTCACGTTTTTCTTGAATGCGATGTAACGCTCGCTCCAGATTGAGCCAAAACGATATTTCTTGTAAAGCTGTACCATTCGATGGGTCACGGTCTAGCTTTGTTACCTAAAGAAAATATACACAAAAAAATTAAATATTCAATATCAACAAGCATAACTTCATTATACAGGTTTAATAAAAGGTCTTTACTTTCTGTATTTCTTTAATCCAACGGTTGACTCCATTCTGCAGCTGATTAAGGAATGTCGAGTCTTCCACTTTGTCACCGAAATCGGCGACACGCGGTTTGCGACCTTCATCAGCAGCCCTGATATTTTAAGAACAATAAAATATTAAGCAATTGAACATAAAACCTAAGATTTTTAAACAGGTATAAGTTTTTTTGATCTCTTGTGTTGGAGGCCAAGACCAACTTTGGGTCGATGCGCCAGCGGAGTAAGTAAGTGTAACAGTAGAAAGCATGCAATATCTTTCGAATAAAAAAAATAATTATGAAAATAAGACATCTTAGGACAGAGTTACCGACGAACAAATTAAAAAAAAACATACAGATGAACTGAGAGCCTCCACCTTTTTGAAATTGTTTAAAAAAAAATAAGTAATAAACATTATTTTTTGAATTTTTAATTTTAAGTACAATTACTTAGCATTCTTCTAAAACTTATTTAAAATGATAAACAGTTTTATTATGGGATAGTGAGACCCATAAGGAAGACATAAAATATATATTCATGCCACTTATTCTATTGTGCACAGATTATTTACATATATTTCTTATGTGTTAATATAGTAACACAATGATGACTATGAATAACTCTTCCATACAGATAAATAAACTGAGTGCCTGTTAGTAATATAACGATAATTTTTTTACACATCGATTATTTAAGATTCAATTCAATTTTGAGTTATATAATAATTTATTTTTATTTTGACTAGTGGTCGGCCGCAACTTCGGTCAGCGCAAAGTAAAAATAATCTCTATAACATGATGAGTTGATCTACTACCTTTCTAAAGTCACGTCAAAATTTGCCTTGCAGACAGACAAACAGAGAAAAAATTTAAAATTAGTTTTTTGTTATCAGCAACGCAAATACATCATGTGTACGAAATATGACAATTTTATTTTCAATTTCATACAGATTCTCAAATTTTATTAATATACATATGATGTTCATGAATAACTTTATTTTGATTATTGATTTAGATACCTTTTAATAACAGTAGCAACCAGAGGATGAACAGGCAAAGTGATTTCAGGAATATCAATATTCTGTTGCAAGTGGAGCAATCCCATCTCCAACTCGGCTATCTTTTTTTCCACTGATGGTGCCATTTTGTCTCCATCCCTATGGAAAATCATATTTTATGTTATGTAACCCATTACCAAAACTCACAAAATGAATCATATTCCCACATTATCCATAAAAAAATGTATCTCTAATACATTGTAAAGAATCCTTTTAGACTGATTATTTTATTTACCTGTCAGCTCTTCCACTTTCTTTCACATAACTCTTAAAGAAAGGTGCCATTGTTTTGCTGATGAAAGCATGTAAGGTCTCATATGGTGAGCCATCAGAGAGATTGATAAGACGCATCTGGCTGTGTATAGATTTATCAGCTTCAATAACTGCACCACGCTTGATGCAAACAAATGCTGCAACTCGTGGTGATGTGAAGTGGACCTAGTAATAAGGGTCATTTAAAAATAATTAAAAACATGTAATAAATAAACATATTAATAGAACTTTGTTATACAGTCTTCAAATATGTTATGTAAACTACTCAATAAATAAATATACAATTTTTGATTATTTTTCCAATTTTTTTTTAATGTACAATATGTTTTTTAATCTTGGATATATTAATTTGTAAATTGAAGCACACATTCAGCTAATTTTTGATTTATAAAACTTTACCACAATAAAGTCTAATAGGATTATTTTTGCAATGCGAGTTTAAAATTGTAATAAAAAATTGCTACTGAAGTCTGATTGTATTCATAAAAATATTATTTATATAAGGATCATTTAATTGGATTTTAATAAGATTCTTATAACGTATTTCAAAAACTATTTTTACCCAAATAAATCAGATATTTAAATTAAAATCATCAGTTGTCCCTGAACAAGAAGTTACACACATAAATTTACACTGATACAACTATGATGTAAAAATTATTATTACCTCATTGCTGATTTGATAGTTAACAGCCTCCTTCTCTTCTTCACCTTCTGTGGGCTGCTCACTATCATCTTCTGTTAAAAAAAATTATAATTATTTAATATTTGCACATTTTATTTTTACTCAAAGGACGAAATTAAAAGCATGTTCTTTTTAATTGAGAATTGTACCAAAAAGTTTAATAAGTATACTCTAGTAATTATACATTACAGTACAGGCATACACCCATTGCACATGCATTTTTTGTAACAAACCTTTTAGAGAAAAACGCTGAACATAAAGTGACGACACTTGTGGATCAGAAATAAACTTTCTAATGCAATCTTGGTTAACTTTGTCGTCCAATGCAGCGTTTAGTGCAGGTGGAACGATGTCATCTTCAGGTAAAAGTACCGTTGCAGCTCTGCGCAGGTAATTAGCAAAATCTTGAAATTCTACTGCCACAACGTTTTGCGCTTCCGAGGCGCTTTCGCTCCCGTCTAGGGAGTCCCCCATGATATTTTTGTTGTTTCTAAATCTAATAAATAAGCTTAAATTCTAAATACACGGAAAATACTTCAGACGATTGCCGGAACGATTACTGACAACTGGATCGAAAAATTAGAAAGAAAAAAAATTGCAGTGCAGTCAAAAGGATGACGCATCAACCAATGTTACCATAATAAACACAACAATAGAAATCAATAACATAGCAAAATAGAAAATGTATGGCTTTTACAGAGCTTTGTAATTGTAAAGATAAAACCGATGTTTTGATGGTTCGTTTTTTCATTTTACGAATAATCTAAGCTGTCATTCATCAACTAAACGGCCAATAACAGTGAAAATATAGCTGCAAGTCATCTGACCAATTCATTTTACATTCAACGTAATGGTTCTGTTTGTTAAGCTACGAAAGAAATTAATTAGTGTTACTTCTAAGTCCTGTAGAATTTTTAACATAACAATGCACTGTTATTTATAATTTTTAAACGTAATTCACTGTTTACAGGACCATAAACAAAACTATAAAATAAGAGTGACGTCATAGACATTGCCTACCTTTTTGCTGCCTACAAATACGTCAGAGGTTTTGGCAGCCCGTGGGTGAACTATTTTCTTCATTGTTGACCTTTCCTAAATCTTAGGTGTAATTATTTCATCATTAGCAGTGTTTGGCTGTATTCTTTTTTTATCTGGTACCTAAAAATTGTGTGCTTTCGACGATGGACTCCGAAGACGATACAAAGGATGATGTGGATTCTGGTAACGAGTCTAGCGGAGACGATGTCGACTTTGTCATGGACGAGACACATAGTACAAGAGAAAGACAAACGGAGTTAGAGGAGTATCCCTATGAGGTATTATCTACGGAGGAAATTGTTCAGCACATGGTGGATTGTATTAAAGAAGTGAATACAGTAGTTGAGGTCAGTATGTTAGTGGTAAACAATGGAGTAATCGAATGAGGTTACTCGTTCACTGTAGGACAGGGCTTTCATGTAGGATAATTGGAATTACTATTAGTAGGAAGGTCCTAAAAAGTTAAAAATAAAAAAGAAATGTTAAATTTGGAATAAAAGATGCAAAATTACAACAAAAGCCTAGGCATATTAACAACAATGGAATTATTTTTTTCTTTTGTTAGATTTGATAGTATTTTATACTAAACAATATTTGTTGCTAAATATTATATATTTTTCCTTAATTGCTTAATTTAATTTAATTTATACTTCTACATCTTATCAAATTAACCATGAAATTAAAACTTTCACTTTGTTTACATGTTAGACTAAGGTAATATAGCTTGCTACTTGGATGACTCAACATTTTGATATTTAATTTAATTGAAAGTATTGTTAGTGCTGTGCTGCTATTTAAGCATAAATTGTGGTTATTGTTAAGGAAATTGTAGTAACATGTACATAGCTAGGTTTATATACTTATGTGTCAAAAGTGTTATTCCAAAAATATTTCTGAATTCTCAAGTTTTTGTGTACATTTGTGGTGTATTCTTAGTTGAAAATATCTATGCTTTTGCTTAGATGAAAGTCAGGAGTTCTAGGTTAAGATTCATTTATTTGTCCTCACTTTAAATACCACCCTACCAAGGGGCTTTAGCCTAGCCTAGGAGTGGTATACTACAGTTCTTATATATATAAATGTTTAATGGTCAGTTCACATGACATTTGAACTCCAATTTTTCATTTTAAAAGATTTCCAGGGTATTGCATATATTGTTCCCATGCATAGTACTCGCTAGATGCAGAGTTGCATAAACTGTACCCTCCTTCTACTATTGTGTCATGTACATTTATGTACCAAAGAAAGAAAGATCTTATACTTCAAAATTGTACCCATAAAAAAAGTATTTTTATCAAAATATTATTATTAAAATAAAAACCAATAACAACTTAACATATGAAAATATTATTTATGTAGATACCAGCCACAACAACCAGGATACTACTAAATCATTTCAAATGGGACAAAGAGAAGTTGATGGAGCGTTTCTATGATGGGGACCAGGATCAATTGTTCTCTGAAGCTAGAGTTATTAATCCATTTAGAAAACCAGTTATACAGAGGCCCAAGGTATGTATAAATTCTGTACTAGATTCTGCATACATAATATACTAACATTTGATATTAGTGAATCTATGTAACTTCAGTAGTTCATGAGATAAGTTTGTGCTCTTTGATATTAATCTTATCCTATTTATCTAGGATTGGCCTACCTTGTTTGACCTTGATCAAGCACTTTTCAAGTTATTTTGAACCAATATCTGAATTATGTGTGCATTTTGTCCTAGGTAAATTTAGGTTGAGATATCATTTATTTTGGGCAATGGAAATTGTGAAACATAATTTAAAAGCTTATGTCTGACACTTTAATCTTTATCTGCCGCACAATGAGTGTCTCAGAAAATGGTTATTTGAACAATTGTATATTTTAGATATCTCATATTAAGACTAAGGGTTTTATGGTCACTTAGTGTTTGAGTACAACTGTTTATTATTCTCACAAGGTAAGCACACCCAAAGTTTATGTTTTTATTTACAGATACCCAGACGGATATCATCATCAGGCGCAGAAGAATGTGAAATATGCTTTTCGATTCTACCAACATCAGTATGTATTATTTTCGATATCACATTACATAGAGAAAATCTAGTTAAAAGGATTGAATTCATATATGACGGCGTATAGAGATTTATAAAGAACTAGTACATACTATGCCGAGCCTCCTTAGGGACAGCGGCAGATTAATGATGATTTATCTTTTAATTCCACGAACGAGGAAGATAATTAAAGTTATTTTGTAGTGTAAAACTGTGTTTTAAAAAAAATGTTTGTTTTAGATGATGACAGGATTGGAATGTGGACACAGGTTTTGCACACAATGCTGGTGTGAATATCTGACAACCAAAATTATGGAAGAAGGATTAGTAAGTTTCCGATTTTATTATATACAGTAAAATAACACTAAAACAATAAAGACAGTCAAGGCTAATTTAACAAAGCATTGGGCATAAGTCAAACAAAATTATGACAGCACACTAGCGCTCCTCTTTCAATGTCAAAAAAGTTACAAGAAACAAAATTTTTACAGTAGCTGCCACTTCATTTTATTCCTTCTTATGTAATTTTCTATGCTTAAGATAGGACCAAACACACTCTCTCACAATTTGAGATATCCTTGTCTATGTGTATGGTGAGTTTCTGAGACCAAAATCCATGTTATTGTTATCACTATGTGGCCAAAGGTAATGACAAAGATGATGAGATTTTGGTGTCAGAAATCTGCAGTTAGTGATGAAAATATTATTGAATAGCTAAAGCCAACCAGTCTGACAGGACTGTAACGAAGAAGAAGAGAAAGCCAACCATGTACAAGATTTGACATTTCCTTATTTACATTTGGAATGTCATATAGAGCTGCATGATTGACCCGTGTGTTTGTTTGTTAGGGTCAAACGATAGCTTGCGCGGCGCACGCGTGCGACATATTGGTCGACGACGCGACTGTGATGCGGCTGGTCCGCGACGCGCGCGTCAAGCTCAAGTATCAACACATCATCACCAATAGTTTTGTAGAGGTATTGTAACTATAATCGCTTTTATCTAATTGCTATTTTAATTTTACTATTAACTAGTGGACGCCCGAGACTTCGTCGGCACGGAATTAAAAAAATACTTAATAAGTAGCCTATGTGTTCTTCCAGACTGTATTCCACATCTATGCCAAATTTAATTGAAATCTGTTACGCTGTTCTGGAGATACCTTCATATAAACATCCACATCAAACATTCTCATTTATAATATTAGTAAGATATCAAGGGAATTAATGATGAAGTTTCATTAATTGTCAAAATTTAATTGTGTTGGCTTTTTGTCTTCACAATAACTATTTATCTTAATCATTTTTTAATGGCTAAGGAAAGATTCCGAAATTGTTTGTTACGTGTTAAAACCTCTTATTATGGGTATGTTCATTGTTACTTGCTTCTTGCCTTTTGTCCACTTTGAAAGTTAATAACCAGAGCATTGCCAGCCAATGATTAAGGATGGAGGCTAGTAGTAGCTGACCCCTTTGGCGACGCCTATGGTTAATACAGATCTTACTAATCCGGCACTATTTAAAACCAGAGGGTGCCGGATTATTGGAATGTTCGGATTACTGGATTATAGTGAAAAGTCATAGGGTTTGCGTTTATATTTATTTTTTTAACTATAAACTATTCTCACTTGAAACAATAAGTTTTGAGGTTAGGCTGCTAGTCGATGCAGTAACCGTAGTGCACACGTATAGACGAGGGAGGCGTAAACGGCGGATGCCGGATTATTGCCGGTACCTATCTATCGTGCCGGATTAGTGTGATTATACTGTATTATAAATGTGTATGGTATTAGTGCAATCGTCTGCTCCGCTGGTGCCCGTCGCCTGACTGCAGCAACGCCATCAAGGTGGCGTACGTGGAGGCGGCGCCCGTCACCTGCCGCTGCGGCCACACCTTCTGCTTCGCCTGCGGGGAGAACTGGCACGACCCGGTGCGCTGCTGTCTGCTCAAGAAGTGGATTAAGGTAGGATTTGCTATGGATATACTTTTTGTGTGTTTTTATATGTTTTAATGTGTATGTGTTTTTAATAGGTGGCAAACGAAATGTCGGTAAAATTAGAATTTTTCTGGTACCAAATAAAATATTTAGTTTCTAACTATAGTTATAATAGTTTGTTTAAAGTTATTTTCAATGAGTTTATGTGACTTTTAGAATTATTTGTCACAATGTTCTATATAGTAATGTTTCGTTACTCAGAACTGAATTATTTATTTTTATTAACAGATATTTCCTCTTAAAATTAAATACATAATTTTTTACATTAACTCTCTCTTTCTCATTCTCTCTTTTTAACATTCTCCTCTACATATACATATGAATATAGATTAATGTTTAATGTTTGTATATGTGTAAGTATATAATTGCAGAAGTGTGATGATGACTCAGAAACGTCAAACTGGATAGCTGCGAACACCAAAGAGTGTCCGAAGTGCAACGTCACGATAGAGAAGGACGGCGGCTGCAACCACATGGTGTGCAAGAACCAGAACTGCAAGGCTGACTTTTGCTGGGTCT